AAAAAAAAAAAAAAAGAAAAAAGAACATTCTTTTCCTTAATTTGTCAACTTGCATTAAGAAATCTTAACCCTAGTGCGATTTTTCGTTTGACTGTACATTTGAGGTTTTTGGGTCTTTTCTGACCCGAAGGTCTTAGGTGCAACAATTTTTGTTGCCAGCATGCAATATGAACGTAGGTGATGAACTTTCGATGTAACGTTAAGGGAAGAAAAATTTGATAACAGCAAAAGTAATTAAAAAGATAAGAAGGCGATGGGTCAAAACAGACCCGAAGACCGTTCTAGGGTTAAACACACCCTAGATTAAGAATCAGTATCGCAAGGCAAAGGGTTAACACAAACGATCCACACTAAATTTACAACTCTCAGACACGCACATATACGCACCTAAATCAATCCAGAAGAAAAAAGATATAAACGACAAATAGCGAGAAAATTGTACGAACTTTCAATCGCAGATACGAGTACTCCTCGGAAGCGTCTACCTGCATCACTCCTTTCTTCGTTCTAAGCACGTACACCGTGTTTATATGGGATAGTATGTTCTCGAACGTCAGCTCTAAATGCGGTCTGACCTGCGGGGAACAAAGCTGCAGATTTATTCCGAGAAATATCAAGGTACGCGACGTGTATCCACTCCGGTTGGATCGGCAAATGTCACCCGTCACGTGGATAACAACCAAAAACATCTTTCTGTCTAATTTGCATATACAGCTGCAGCTACGTAGGTCCCGTTCCGATTTCTCAAGGTATCCAGGCGGAATTCTCAACGGCCACGTACAGAGAATAATAACGAACGTTGATAATTGGTCAACGAGCGGAGGACGTACGATACTTGCACGCGCGATGCAAATGAAGTTGGAACTGGGTGCGTGTTACGTCGTTCGGAACAAACCGCGCTCGAAAGGTGTGTGTGATTATGCGTGTACGAATCTGTAGGAATTATACCGTTTGGCGGGCAACCAGCGGTTCACGATAACGCGATAACTAATGCGGCGTGTTTCGCGAATGAAACGCGGATCGTCGATTTGGGCTGACGAGAAATTGCGAGTGAAATTGTTCTTTTTCGGCGCGTTTTTGCAGGTGTGAATGTCCTCAGGCGGTTTTTTTTTTTTTAGGTGTACGGTGGTTGCACTTTAAATTTTGATATTTTACGGAAATTATTTTAGTATAGTAATTTATGCGGTAAAGAATTTTACAAATAGTCTTCTTCGTATCTTTTTTGAAATTCGTTTTAGGTCATTTTTAGAACATGCATATCTGAGTTATTTCGGTGATTAAAGTATGAACTAAATTGTGATCTGTGATGGAGATTATTTTGGTATAATAATTTGAAAATTTGAGGAAATTATAGCTGTGGTTAACAAAGCTTTTAAATAATCTACTTTATACATTTTTTTAAATTTAGTTTAAGGCAATTTTTGAAGAGGTATGGAAGAGAAGAATGTGTCTGAATTATCTCGGTAATTAAATTACGAACTAAATTGCGATTTGTCGTGGAAATTATTTTTTATGCATTTTTTAAAAGTCGTTTGAGATCATTTCTGACGAGATACCGAGACGAAGAATATATCTGCGTTATTCCGGTGATAAAATTATGATCCAAGGTGTGATTTGCGATGGAAATTATTTTAATATAATAATTTGAAAATTTGAGGATATTATAGCTATGGTTGACAAATTTGACAAATAATTCTTTATACATTTTTTGAAATTCGTTTAAGATCATTTTTGAAGAAGTATCAAGGCGAAGAGTATACCTCAATTATTTAGAAACGTCGATAATTTCATTAGACATAACCTCAAAGTAAACGTTTCGAGGTTAGGTCACTACTTTTCATCAGGTTACTCTGATTTTATAAGTTCGTTAGGTCTACGAGCAATTTCTGTTCCCTTCAATTTCTACAATGCTTAATTTCTGCATAATAAAAGCGCATTACGAAGGAGATATAAGGGTAGTTTCGAGAAGTTTTCATTTGCAAGATGGAAATGAAGTTTGAGGTTAACGATTATGAAACAATTAAACTTCGTACTGAAACATTCTCGAATAACAATGGACGTTACCGTTCTCCGTTCCCATTAAAGTGCCGCAAAAGGGTAAGTTAAAGAATAGGAGAACTTTTCTGCCAATCTGACGGTTGTACAAGGCACAATCTCTTTATTACGTCGGATCTCTTTTAGATTTATTATTTCAGATAGAAGAAATTTCCCATTGATCTATTGCAGAATTCGTAATACGATTCTTTCGCTCGTTTCAATGAGAAACTCGGCAACGTTCCATCGCGATTTATCTTTACAAGCATTTCTATCAATTCACATTGAAACAGAACATTCACGTATAATTAAGAAATTGTAAAAATTCAGGTAAGTGAAAAAAGGAGAAAGCTTCAATCTTTCGTGATTTTTTCATAAATTTAACGAATTTCAAATTTTTCATTTAATTCAAAATTAAAATTTAAAATCTAACGAATTCCAAAATTTTCAAGTTTTAGTTTATAATTAAAATTTAAAATCTAACGAATTCCAAAATTTTCAAGTTTTAGTTTATAATTAAAATTTAAAATCTAACGAATTCCAAAATTTTCAAGTTTTAGTTTGAAATTAAAATTTAAGAT